CGTCGAGAAGCCCAGACGGACGGAATTCGCCCGTATGCTGGCCGGCGTCAGGGGGGTTCCGGGCGAAGGAGACGCGCCATCGAACTGGAAACAATTGACAAGATACAGGGGTGGACGCGGAAAGGAGCGTGGGAGAGGAAATGGCGGGAGGAGCGTGACATTCGCGGAAAGGGTTGGCGGTGGAAAGGTTAAGTATTCGTGAAAGAAAATGGGTCGAGTGCTCAATTGATCTCCCCTAATTTAGTCAAGATCGTTTCCTTTGCCCTACTTCCTTGACACGATACGTGAACTTGTCCGATATGACTGAATTACAAATGCTCGAGGTGAATCTGGTATTGGAAGGGAAGATCTGACAAGTTGATACTGAGAAATTGAATGACTGACGATGATACAGGTATGCACGGATCTGCGACGCATTCTACGAGAATAATTATTGAGAATTCTGAAGACCGACGAAAATGTTAGCGGGGAATGACGACGGAAATGGATGGAACAGCACCTGCGATTTGAGCTTTCGTAGTTCGGCTTGCGTGAACTGGTTCGCTAAGTTCGCATCCGCCACGTCGATGCTTGAAAACAACATGTCGCTTGATATTCGCTACTGCGAATTGCCGGGCAGGAGAGGCTAACTTGACCGGATATTAATCAGCAGGAGCAAAATCAGCCTGAACTGAACTAGCACTGTAATTGCTGTAAAAGGCGTGAGTTGAATCTACAGCCTTCTTAGGAATCAGGTTCACTAGATTCAGTGCCCGATAGGGAAGGCTGGCATTGACAGCGGAACCCAAGAAGAACGGTCTTATTCACGCTGTCGTCTGCAACTGGCTTCACCGTTTCTTGTACGTCACTCAGTCCTGGTGCTGCTGCCAATGGTGTGCGAAACGTCAGGGAAGGCAACGTGACGTGAAATCCAGTAACAACGCAAATTCCCTTTGCCCATGGATGGGAAAGTGTGGAAAAGATGTGAGATCAGAGGGGAGGGGGAGAAGTGGGACCTCGGGATTCTCTTCCTCTGTGCTGCTGACTGCCTTCCCGATTCAGCAATGCCAAGGAATTGCCGTGCCCAACGCAATTGTCCTCTTGACACTTTCCCGAGTCGCCAGAACTAGCTCCCTCACCCGCTCTGCCCGTAAACAACCTCCATCTGTCAGGCCGAGCAGCACCCATGTGGCCTCGCGGTGGTCGGTTTCAATTGACCCGTCTTGGGATGGTCGTCCAATGAGCACGTTCCATTGTTCCCGCTAAATCGAAGGTCTATTCTGCGATCGTGTCGATTCGGAAAGGCACACCCGTGGTGCGAACCACAAGTTTCGGTAATGGTGCAAGGTTTGTCAGAAGACATTTGCATTTGTATATAGACTTCATGAGCTGCAATTAACTGTTCTATTCTGTATTAGAAGAGTGAGCACAAGAGTTTTGTTGTGTTGAAAATGGTCAGGAAACACAAGGCAAACAACATCTCTGGATACTCCTAGAATTTTTATCAGATGTTAAAGCAAATAGAAATAGCTAGAAAAATCATGTTCAGGTGAAATATGTAACAATGTCAGTATGAATGGTATCAGTATGGCTATTTGTATTATTCTCATCAGGATTACCTCGTGTTGGTGTAGTTTTAATTTCATCAGCTATTTCCGAACCCCCACAACAGTTCAACACGAACAGCCCCACAACTGTCACGTGTCCTTTTCCCACAGCAATTGATACCCCCGCCTTCATCGCCTGAAACGCCGCCGACGGTCATTCCTGAATTAATCTCCGACATATCGCTCGCATCATCTTCACCCGGTCACACCGTCGGCGGTAAACATGCCGTACGAGTCGCTCCCTCCATTCGTTCTGATCGCGTCGATGCTGTGCGCCGCCGGTGGCATCCAGCACCTTGTCAACCGGACCCTATACGGCAAGGTATGCCACTTAAAACTCTTCCGTTTTCATTCCGTTTCTATACCTCTAGTTTGGAATGGGAGTTTATTGCGCGCGGGTAGCTGGTATATTCAGTCCATTTTAGGTAACCCTAATCCCAGCACTTTGCTTGGATCCGCATAACCTGGCCTTGAGAGGCTCGTTGTTTCCCCGGTTTCCGTTCGAGGAATCGGCCGGAAGAGGAGGCGGATAGTAAGTGGGGTTGCATAGGTTAGATCCACATGTTGTCGTTGTTATTGTGCTTGGTGGTTAATTGGGGACGGAACTACTCACTGCTTGGATGTCAACTTTCATGGATCCACCTTGAGCGCTCGATGCACCCTGTTGCTGGTATCCTTACTCGCTTGTTTCCCTGGGCGCGCCATGCGTATGGGGCTCTTATTGGCGGGTGCGGTGCGTGCAATGGGTGCGCGATGCGTGGGATGCGTGCATTGCCATGTGTGGTGAATGCAGCCGAAGCACCCGAACTCGGACGCATGGGATTACGCCATGGAGGCCCGTGACAAGCGGCTGTTGGAGGAAACACGTGCTCGGGTATGAACCATAATATATTGTCTTCGCTCATCTGATTGATGTGTTGCGCTTTAGCCCCCCTGCCATTGCATGTTCTGTTTGGATCCAAAGTACAAGGTACATGCTGAACATTTTGTTCTTTGTTGTTCCTTTCTTGCTTCCTTTCCCCGTCTCCCCATGCCCCCAGCGTTGAACCATTGGGCCTGCCCTTCCATGTGAGGCGGCGTGAAGCCTATACATCATCCGTTGTCTGAACATGTGCAGCATCTTGTAAGAAATAAACACATTGTACTTTCTGATAGGTTGGGGGTGGGCAGGGTTGTGATGCTGCAATTGCCCTTGGATTATGCTGCGACCTGGAGCATTGAAGCAACCTTGACACTGGTTCTCTGATTGTGTTGTGTCTCCTCTTGAAGAGCTATAGCCAGGATGTAGCACGGCCAATCACCCTTGTGTGCATACAAAAACTAGGTGGTGGTAGACATGCTTGTCTTGCCTGCTTTGGGCACTTTGTCCTGGTATGGCGTTTGTGCTTGCTTGGTGCCACACTGGTCAGGCCCACCTGCCAGCCCCCCCGACCACACGGAAAGTTACAGAAAGTGCAAGTGTGTTAAGGGAAATTCATGGTAATTTAACCTTCAATCAAGGGCTGACAAAGAGAAGACTCGGTTGGAAAAGCAAGGCTGCAATCTCAAAGCTCGGGGTCATTTCTCTTATATGCCCTTCATGTCTGAACCGGAATGACATTATAACAAACAAACCCAAGATGATGTTGCCTCCCTATGTGTATGGACTTGTTCTGATGGAAACCCGCACTCAATCGGGGACGATGATGGTTCCGATACACGATGATGACGTGTATCATGTTCCATTGGTAATTCACACTTGACGAATCGCTCCCGTCAAAATTATACATTCCCACTCCATACGGGGCGACTTCCAGGTCATCTCACCGCCTTGAAATGGTAGAAATATCGGAAACTCGAAGTTGACGGTTGTTTTCAGTTCACCCCTCTCTCGTTCACTCTCCGCAAGCCTTCAACGGCTCGTTCCGTTTCGCTGGGCTCAAATTCATCTGCCACTGACAGACAGGACCTGCCCGTTGATTCAAGCGGCGTCGCTTGTGTCAGACGGGCGTCGGCTATACGAAACTTCCGTCAAGTTGGTGTTCATTCGGATTGCCCAGACAAGATGCTGATTTGGAGCACCCGAACTAGAAAGGTCGTGTAACCAATCAGAATTCTCCAGAAGGTTAAAGGTGTGGGAGAAATCGTCGCACAAAGCCGCTCTCGACGGAGTACACGTCAGGCTTGACCCCGTCTCTGTGGGGTACGGTCTCCTTCACTGGCGCAGGCACAACTGGATGGCTGTGCGACTCAGCGGCCCGAACCATCCTTGTCGTCTGCACTGAACCCGTCCTCATCTGGCGCCCGACGACAGTCCGCTTGCGCTTTTGCAACCGATGAAAGTCTAGCCAGAGTCGCAGGCGATCTGTGCACTGAGCGGAATTTCTCTACCCTCCTTCGCCAGCAACCAGCCCCCCCAACTTCGCAGCTCGCAGTTCGTACATTCCCTTTCGCGTCGGAAAGGAACAAGTCGTGTCGCCGTCAGCGTGTCGCACGGAGGAAGTGCGGGAAACAAGCGCAATTCGGAAAGGCGCCATTTCCTCCTCCCATCCCTCCCAACCCATAATTCCTTCCCCTGCCTCCTCTTTTTTTCGCGCGCTGAATCAAGTTGAATGGGCAAGCTTTCGAAACAGCAGACCAGCCAAGAGGAAGGAGACCATGACGCAAGCATGCTGAATCATCGGCCCCCAGTCAAACATGCCAGATATAGAGAGCCACCATCCTACGCACTCTTTTGAGTTTTGTGGCTGTCTATTAGTCTCCACGAGCCTGAGTATGTCTCTCCAGCTTAGGATTCTTCCACTAGAGAGTGAGTTTTAGTTGTCTAGTGCGACAGCTGGTAGTCCCATCAAAATACCATCTATCCCCTCTGGTCACGCAGCTGCTGTGCTCGCGGCGGATCATTCCCCTTCTCTCAATAAGCTAAGCTTATTATACTCATGCAACTCCCTTTAGCAGCTCGCTTCTCAGCGATAGTAGCCCGTGAATAACAGTTACGTCCAGTCACGTCCTCAGAAAAAGCTTTATTCGAGCGCTCTTTTGTGACTCATCTTATTGGCTGCGAGGCACGCAGCTCCCCGCGACCGCCCGACGATAATCAGCCGTCTCACAATCATCTTGCGATTGCCTCTAGCCCTGCTACACGAGCGAACTCCCAATAGTATTTCCACGACTAGAGAAGGTCGCGAGAAGAGGACTAACAGCACAACCCTGAGAGGCATAGCCTTCAGAGCTCACCCAACTCGCGCCTGCGCGTCGGACTTCGCGCGCGCAACAATGGGCGCGGCTATCGCGCCAGCGGTCGGGGGCGTCTCTGACCGAAAGGCGGGCGCACGCAAGCGGGCCGTCGTTCTGGGCCATGGCGGCCCCTGGGTTCGTCGCGCGCAGTCGCTCGGTCGCTTCTGGTGGCCGCTCCTCCCGCTCTTGCTTTGCGTCATGATCATCACTCACGGCGAGATGCTCGCTTTCCTCTTCCTCCGCATTTTACCGCACCCCATCTCCGCATCCTCCGCCGCGTCTTCCGCTTCTTCTGTCTCCGCCGCAGCCGCTGGGCTCATCCAATCTGTCCGTCAAGGCCTCTCGGCGTTCTCCTTCTTCTCCTCCGCATCCGCCGCCGCCGCCGCCGCCGGCGGAATCGCGTGTACGTTCGTGGTGGTTCTTATCCGCGGCGTGTGCGAGCCGATAGCGGCGGTACTGCTGCTCGATTCGCTACTGCTCACGCTCTCCGGTCTCGTGCTCTGGCACAGAGCGCGGCGGCAAGAGCGCCTGCAGACAGCAGCCGCAATTCGCGCCAGAGCTAATAAGAGAGCTGATACGGCTCCTAACGGGGTAGTTAGTGCGGTTGATGGTAGTGGTGACGTATGGGAGGAGAGTGGTGGTGAGGTTGATATGACCAGGAGCAGCAGCGGTAACAGCATGGCGGTTAACTTGGGTGTCGCTGCGTCCGCCGGTTGCGACTGGGACGGCGCCGCCGCGTCCGCCGCGTCCGGCGGCGCGCTCCCCGCAACGTCCACGTGGCCGTCCGTGCTGGTGCAGCTGCCCATGTACAACGAGCGCGAGGTGTACGCGCGCGCGATCGCCGCGGCGTGTAATCTGCAGTGGCCGCGGGGGCGGCTCGTGGTGCAGGTGTTAGACGACAGCACGGACGCGGAGATTTCGCGCGGAATGCGCGCGGAGGTTGCGCGGTGGCGGAGCAAGCTGAGGTGCGGGGGCGCGAGCAAGGGCGCGCGGAACAGCTTCGGCGGAAGAATCGACGTGCGGTACCGCCACCGCACGGACCGCACGGGGTACAAGGCGGGGAATCTCCGCGAGGGGCTGACAGAACCGTACGCGCGCGCGTGCGCGTTCGTCGCAATTCTCGACGCGGACTTCGAGCCTTCCCCCGACTGGCTCCTCCGCTCCGTCCCCCCGCTCGCGCGCGACCCGCAGCTCGCGCTCGTGCAGACGCGCTGGGCGTTCAGTAACGAGTCGGAGTGCCTACTAACGCGTCTGCAGGCCGTGGAGCTCAAGTGGCACTTCTTAGCGGAGCAGCTGTTCAGCTCATCCGCGTTACAGTGCTTCGGCTTCAACGGCACCGCGGGCGTGTGGCGCACAGCGGCAATCACGGATGCGGGGAGCTGGCGCGACGACACGACCGTCGAGGATATGGATATCGCGGTCTGCTCCGCCGCGAAAGGATGGCGCATGCGGCTCGAGCCCACCGTGGAATGCGCGAGCGAGGTCCCCGCGGGATACGGCGCGTACAGGAAGCAGCAGCACCGGTGGACGAGCGGCCCCGCGAATCTGCTGCGGCTGCGCGGCGGGGTCGTGCTTACCGCGGAGCGGTCCGCGCTAAGCTGGCCTGCGAAGCTGTACTTCGTGGGGATCTACATGTTTCTTCGCCGGGCTGCCCGCCACTTGATAGGGATTTCCTTCTGGCTCGTCGTCCTGCCCGCGTATCTCTTCTCCTCCGCGTTTTCCCCCGCCTCCGCTTCCGCCTCCGCGTTCCCCTTCCCCTGGGCAATGGCGGCGCTGGTGCTCGTATACCCGCTCTGTCTCTTCGCATTCTCCCCCTCGAAGCTCCGCCTGCTCCCCGCGTACTTCCTCTTCCTCGGCGCGCTTCTCCCGCTGCGCGCGTACGCCACCGTGGCAGGCCTGCTCAATCTATCCAGCTCGCACACGTGGGACGTGACTCAGAAGCTGGGCCGGCGCGACGCGGCCGGCGCGAATGGCGCTGGAGGTGACGGTGCGGAAGGGGAGGGGGAAGAGGAGACGAGCGAGGAGGAGGCTCCGCTGAGTGGAGGAGAGACGAGTGAGGAGGAGGCGGAGGAGGAGGGGGATACAGAGGAGGAGACAGATAATTCAGAGGAGGGTGAAAGGGAGAGTGCTCTTGGTGAACGGGAGCTGAGATTGCGGCCGAAGCGGGCTAGTAAAGCAAGCCGTGACTCATCCATGACGTCAGCAGCATCATGCTCCTCCTTTTCCTCCTCCTCCTCCAGTGCTCCCTCCCTCTCCTCCTCCACCACCTCCTCGGCTCCTTCCTCCCCTGCCCCTCTCTCCCCGCAACCCTCCACAGTGGAGTTAATGTCTCTCTCTGCGCCATCCACAGCAGCTGCAGTAGCAGCAGCACTGGCAGCACAAGAAGCAACTGTGAGAAAGGCAGGACCCATGTTTGTCCCAGAGCTGCTGTTTGGCTGCTATCTGCTGCTGGTTGCTGCTGTGGTGGTGGGAATGAAGGGGGTAGGAGTTTTGGTGAGGTCAGGAGAAGGCTCAGGAGGTGCTGCTTGGTGGTTAACAACAGGATTAGTGGCCTTGCAAGGAGGGTGGTCAATGTGGGCCGGCTTCGGAAACCTGGGAATTAGTGATTGAAGAAGAGGCTTGAGGAGGTGATTCGTGCTGGGAGGTGGCATCGGTCGGTAACTTGGTGCTTTTGTGTGATATGACTTGGTAAGAGGTGCCTTTTGCAGGCACCATTAGTGCAAGTAGTGTACAAGCGATCAAGGGTTAGCCATCTGCCTGATAAATTAAAGAAACTAGGCATTGACTTTTAGTGTTAAATTCAAATGTTGTTTGGCATGGCTTCAAACTGATGCAATGCCATGATCAATATTGCTTTCTCTAGTCCCCTAAAGAGCAAATGTCTGCTTCACGGAGTATTCTCATCTTTGCATGGATATACTGTATCGCAGTAGAAGCAGTAATCCTTGCTCCTGCCCATACCTGTTTCAGTGTGACTATTTGCTCCCACAGGTTTGGAAATACCCTGCTAGCCTAGCGAAATGCTTGGGTGAGAGTGGCTCGGCAAAACGCCTTTGCCATGTGGCGCCATTTGGTGCCTCATCGACTTTGACACGACAGGCAACATGCCAGTTGCTGGGAGAAGTAAAAAGATACCAGAAGTGTACCATCGACATGGATCAGGCTGACGTGATCCATAAAAGGGAACTCACATTCCAGGTGAGCAATTTCTTTGAGATTGACCCTCAAGAAATGCCCTTTTCAAATCTGCCGTGTCGCTCCCTGACTCGAGGGCTGGCTTTCTTTCTCTACCACGTGGAATATCGTTGCTGAAAGTTCCAGGGTGCCCCCAATGGCCACGTTCATCTCTTAACGCTGAAATCACGTCCAATCCTCCGTTGCCAACTACGCAGGCTCATCATCATGATCTGTCTGGGCGGGCTAACAGCAGTGTAGATCAATTCCCAAGAAACAAATCTCGACGCCGCATTAGTGGGCTTTGGAGTTCAATTTTGCTTGAAACCATACCCAAGCGTAAAGAACCGTACAAACTTTGCTCTGAAACTCACCCCACCACATCCAGCTTATTGTCACCCCCCTCAACAAGGCTCGATGGGCGGAAATGCCTGACAAGTTGTGATGCTGATGCGAGGCGACGACGAGACGAATGTCGACTGCCGAGCCGATGGATTGGCTGAGGCAAGGACAGATTGGTGGAGTAATCAAGGGCCAAAGCTAGCTGCAGTCCTTTCCTTCTGCTTTTCAAATCTCAATCCCGTTTTTCTTTCCTGGTCAGGGCAGCAGCACATCCCATGGCTCGGAGGAAACGGTGTACGACAGGACATGGCCACAAGGCTCTTGAGAACTGATTCTTGCGCGAGGAGTTGAACTCGTGCGGATCAGTAGTGCTGTGTTCAGTAACAAGATGTTTTTGTTGCTGAAGGCCAGTTTTTAGGGATCCAGGTCGCGAAATCCCTGTCCTCAGTGAGTAGCGAAAGTACGTCCGTAGTCTCGTCTATGCAGATTCACTTGAACATCGATTTTCCGATTTCCACAGAGACAACGTTTTCCGTCAGGCAAACACTCGCTAATTCGTCGACAACTTCGCTGTACTCACACTACAAACTCGTCAAGCGTTTTCGTGTCCGTCCACTAACGTAAACGGAGAATCTGTAGCGAGAGCTCTTGCATCAGGTCCCTTACCCTACGTCGACCGCCTCGGAACGTTTATGACCCGGTCCAACCTCACCTGAAAAGTACTGTCTTCCTACCTCTACGCATCACATCATCGTAAACAAATTCGCGGGCCCTTGCTTCTAAGAAAAGCCGGCTGAGCACGGACGCTGCTCAGAGATCGCACCGCTCCTCCCGTCTCTCGGTCGAAGGCGGAGTAGATAAAGGCGCTGCGAGGAAGTCGCAAGTGCGACACAGCCGGCGAGGGTCAACGGGAGGATAGTTGGCAGAGCGGGAAGCTCTTCTGGTGCATCTCCCGGTGCATGGCCACTCCTCTCAACCTCACCCAACGCCGTACCCTTGTTTAGCCGGTGCATTCAGCCGTTCCTCCGCCTCCTCGCCAATCCCCACCTGCTCCCACCACCCACCGCGTCGACTCCTCTCCCCGTCCTGCTTGCTCCCGCCGCGCAATCCATGGCCCAACCCATGCCTCAAAGCATGAACCAGGGCGTGAACCACGCCGTGACTCACGGCGTGAACCAGGGCATGGCCCAGCCAGGCATGAACCAGGGAGCGAGTCAAGGCGGAATGAGTCAGCCGATGGGCCAGGGCATGGGCCCGGGTCCTGGGGGAATGCTCCAGCCGGCGCCTGTGATGCAGTATATGCAGCAGCCGAACAGCACCCCCATGCCCGTGCAGTCACCCGCGCAGCCAGGTGAGGTGACGTTTGAGTCGACTCAAAGGTCCTGACCCTGGGGGTATGCCCTAGCCGGGGCCTGTGGTGCAGTATTTATGCAGCAGTCGAAAAGCAACCCCATGCCCGTGCAGTCACCCGCGCAGCCAGATGAGGGGGAGGCAGAGTGAGCGAGACCGTGAGAGGAAGAGAGACGGGGTGAGAGAAATGGAGAGAGGGAGAGAGATGAAGTGAGGGAGGGGCCTCCCCTCTCTCTTCCCCCCCTCACCCTTACAATCTCCCCCTCCCCTGGTCCCCTCCTCTCCTCTTGTCAGCAGCGCAGTCGCAGATTGTGTGCACGGGGTGCCGCACGCTGCTCGTGTACCTCAACGCCTCCCCTCTCTCCTTTCCCGTGTCCCCTCTCACCCCTCTCCCCATTTCTCCCCCACACCCCTCTCTTGCCTTGTCAGCAGCGCAGTCACAGATCGTGTGCACGGGGTGCCGCACGCTGCTTGTCTACCCCAACAACGCCTCTAACGTCCGCTGTGCGCTCTGCAGCACCATCACGCCCGTGCCACAAGCAGGTCAGGTCGGGCCATTTCAGGTGAGGCGAGATCAGTTCAGGCCAGGCCAGGTGAAGTGAGTTCAGTTTGGTTCGGGTTTAGTCGGGTCAGGTCAGGTCAGGCTGGGTTGGGTCGGGTGGGGGCCCGGGCCGGGCTGGGTCGGTTCGGATCGGGCCGGTAATCAAACTTCTTGCTCTGCTTGAGTCGTCACAATATTAGCACGCCCTCTGCAGCAGCACCACGAACCCCCCCCCCCCCCCCCCCCCCCCCCATGCCACAAGCAGGTCAGGTCGGGTCTGATCCGAACCCAAACCCTTGTTCCTCATATCGTCGTCAATGCTGCGCTGCCCTCGACCCTCTCTTTTCCCGCATACTCCTCCTCGGCCCTGTTTCAGGCACGGATATGGCGCAGCTGCTGTGTGGGGGCTGCTGATTACTGAGCCGCCTCAAACATCAACTCTCACACCCAGAAAGTTGGCGCACACATCCCGAATGCCCGTCTGTCTGCCCCACTACCCCATACCAGGCACGGAGATGGCGCAGCTGGTGTGTGGGGCCTGCGATGATTGAGGCACCTCATGTTGACTGCTACACCACGCGCTCACATCCCAAATACCCCTCTACTCCCTCTGCCCCTCTGCCCCGTCTCAGGCACGGAGATGGCGCAGCTGGTGTGTGGGGGCTGTCGCACGCTGCTCATGTACGTGAGGGGCGCCACTAGCGTGCAGTGCTCCTGCTGCCACACCGTCAACCTCTCCTCCGACCGTGAGTCGCTCGCCTGCCTGCTGTTATCTGCTCCCACCTGCTCCCACCTGCCCCCGCCTGCTGCCACGTGCTCTGCACGGCCACCTTCTGTTGCCACAGGGCTGCCGTGGCTTGCTTCCATGCCTGGTCCGCACTGCCTGCATCAGCACATGACGCTCCCATCCCATCACTCTGTGGTCAGAGAATGCACTTTCTATTGCTTCACGGTCACCCAGCACAGTGACTCCCCCCCTCACCTTCTGAGGTTTTGCATTATCATCCGTACCCGCCCCCGCCCCATTCTCCCTATCCTGCTCCCCCGATTTTGAAATGTTTGATGTGCAGCAAACCACGTGGCGCACATCAACTGTGGGGGCTGTGGCATGACGCTCGTGTACGCCATGGGCGCTCGCAGCGTCAAGTGTGCTGTGTGCCAGTTCGTCACGCAAGTCATGGTGCGTGCTACTTGTCTCACTTGTTAAGTTGGTTGTTGAGCTCATTTCTGAGGTGATGACTGAGGTGATTCCAGAGTTCACTACTCAGAAGCTGGGTGCTCGCAGCGTCAACTGCGCCGTGTGCCAGTTCGTCACACAAGTCATGGTGCGTGCGGCGCGGGCCACTTGCGGCCTCTGCCTCGGTGGTTGTGCTTCCATCCCATGCTCAAACCCACGGGCTTTGCTCTGCATGCATGCATGAATGCATGTGTGATTGACATCTCATCCTGGCACTTGATTTTCGAGTCTTTAGTGTTCAATCGCCATTTCCCCTGTCGTTTCTCGAGTCGAAGCCCAGTCGCAAGCTTGGAGGCTGTCGACATGCTTCCCTTCAGTGATCACATCACACCTGTGCTTTCCTGTGGTGCTCTTTTACGCCGTTGCCTTTGCAAAGTCCAGTCTGCTTGTACAGGAGATTTGAACTCAAATCTGTGCTTGAGACTCAAATCTGTGCCTGAGACTCAAAGCATGCCTGAGACTCAAAGTGTGCACGGCGACGCTGGTTTGTTTTGCTGCTTGCTTGTCTCATTCTGTGATGCAACAGGTGCCACCAGCGAACATACAGCCATTACAGCAGCAAATGCAACCATCAACAGCAGCAGCAACAGCAACAGCAGTTCACACAGCAGCAGCAGCAACAGCAACAGCAACAGCAAGGGCAGGTACACGCAAAATATTTCTTTTCCCTTACTTTGACCTCAACAAATCCTCCATGCACTGATCCTAATCTTCTTACCTGCTCTTGTTTCCTTCTTCGTCTTCTTTTTATCCAACTCTCTTCTTATTTCGTTTTCCCACTCTTCACCACATTTTGAGGTACCTAAAAGGCTCAGCTCTTCTTTTCCCCACCCTGTTTCCCCCCCATTCCTCCTGTACTTTGAACCTAGACACAGCACATGGGCAACAGGACGTGAAGGGAGCACGGGTGGGAGATGTGAGAGCAGTGGTAACGTTGTATGGGCATGTGGCAGGATGGAAGGAGTGCAGTGGAGTGCGAAGAGATGTGGGGGAGTGCAGAGGAGTGCGGTGCGGATGAAGGTGGTTGCGTGCGGTGGAGTGCGGTGGAGTGCAGTGGAGTGGATGCGACTGGAGTGCATCAGTCTGTGCAATCCTTTGTGCTGCTGCAACCCTACTCCACGTCCACACTGCCCTCCGTATTGTTACACCAGTTGCAGGATTGCAGTCCCTGCTACAGCTGCTGCAGCATTTAACCAGCAGCTGCAGCATTTAACCAGCATGCTGCTGCTGCTCAGCGGTTGCCTCTCAGCGAGAGCAGTTGCATAGTGCAGTAGCAGCAGAGTATGTGTCTGGTCCGCATCGGTCACGCATCTATCACCCGGAACTGGGAGAAATAAGCGTTGCCCAACTGTACCGTACCATTCAATTTTGTAGAAGTGAACAAGCGGAAACTGTGAAGGGCAAAGATTACTGTAATATTCTGGGAATCTGGTTGCACAGGAGCAGCTTTCAGTGCTCTTGACTATAATCATGCTGTTGTCCATAATTCTGACTCAGTAGAGAGGAACAGAGAGCTTCACTCAGAAATGCACCAAGCATGAACTCTGAACTCATGACGAGTCATCGTCTTTACCAAACACGTACCGTATTGCATGCCAAACATGGCATCATCATCTGCCAGAGTGCACGGCTAGCTGTAAGGTAACTGTACCAGTTGGAAACTACCGGTAACTGTTTTGTTCACTACGGTACTTTAGCTAGCACATGCAGCGCGATCCATCAAAAGCTCATGAAACTGGTACAAACTTCTGTCGACCAGCACATTCACAGCATTGGATGGAGAGCATAAGCATTTACACGTTGAGTACCGTAAATCCGTGTGAAGTATACTCGCCTGCAGGTACAAACCCTAGAGTACCTTCAGAGCGAGTAGGGTACCTACCCATGCGTACGGCACAAAGAAAGTGATTTATCGACTGAGTTCCAACTCACCGCCAAGTACTGTACTAGTACCAGCACTCACTCCTCTCCACTCCTGTGCACAGCTGGTACCGACACTGCTGCAGTTGCTGCTGCTGAAACTGCTTCAATTGTTACTCCCGCTGCTGCATCCCCTGATGCAATCCCCTCATTCCTTCCCTCGTCCCTCTTCTGCTTCCCCCTCAACCCCTCCACCCTCACCCAATACCTCCCCTCTTTTCACCATCATTCCCTCTCCTACCACCTCCTCCCCCACATCTTCCACCGCCTCCTCTCCCACCTCCCTCCCCACCTCCTCCCCTTCCACACCTCCCATCTCAGCTACTCCCTCCCCTGGCAACACTGGTGGCGCCGGCGGCAGTGGCGGCAGTGGCGGCAGCACCCCTTGCTCCCGCAATTGCCCCTCCCACTCCTGCAGCTGCTGCACAAACCCCGCATTCGGGTTCGCTTCGGGCCGCAGCCCTCTCACGAGCGTCAGCGCCTCATCCACAGTCATGCCGCGGCGGGCCATGAGGTAGGCCACAACCACCGTCACGCTGCGGGAGCGCCCGGCGAAGCAGTGCACGAGCGCACAGCCTCCTGCGGCTTTGGCTGCATCAATGACGGTGAAGCACTCCTGGAAACGCGATATCAGGTCCACTTTGGGTGAGTCGAGCACTGCAGGAGATGGGGGCAGGTGGCAGGAGGGGGAGAGAGAGATGGAAGTGTGAGAGGAGAGGAGGACAGGTGGAAAGATGAAGGGGGCATGGCATGGGTGTGGATGCCTCATCCGCAGTCATGCAGTGCTGCGACGTGCACACGGTTCACTTCACACAGAGACCCTCCAAGACATGCAACCACCCCCCCCCCCCCCCCCCCCCCCCCTCCCTCTCCCCTCTCCCCCCCACCCACTGGCAACCCTCTCTCACCGTTGATAAGCATGTAATGGGAGTCGTGGGGACGAGCGGCCAGGATGTGCCATTGTAACGAGGTGACTTTTAAGTCGACTCAGAAGTCACCTTACTGGCAACCCTCTCACCGTTGATGCGCGTGTGATGGAAGTTGTGGGGACGAACGGCCAGGATGGAGTTGGCAATTGTGAGCGAGCAGAGAAGCGAACAGAGAAGCGAGCAGACCGCGAGCGAATGAAAACCACACACCAAGGATCCCCCTCTCCTCTCACCATTAATGAGTGTGTAATGGAAGTCGTTGGGGTGTGCGGGCAGGATGGAGTTGGCGACTGTGAGCACGTGCGTAACGTTGCTGCGCTTCAGCAGCTCCCTGTTGTGAGCCGCGCCGATCGACCCCAGATACAGGCCCTGACGCACCAACCAACCATGGCCGCGCATGCACCAAGGGGAAAGACACAAGGGAGATGAAGAGAGAGAGAGCAATGAGCAATGAGGGAAGGATACAAGCCTTGTAGATGGCCCTTGTGTATTTTTGAGGCGACTCAACTCAGCAATGAGCAATGAGGGAAGGATATGAGCCTTTTGTCCCTCTGCCCCTATCCCTCTGCCCCTATCCCTCTGCCCCTATCCCTCTGCCCCTACCCTTCGTCCCCATCCTTCCCCACACACCCACCTCGTCCACAAGGCATGGCACACTGTCTGTCTTGATGTGCCGCACTCATTAAACCTCCCTCCCCTAGCCCCGAACCCCCAACCCGACCACCGTTTCCCTTTCCCCCCCACCCCTTACACACCTCGTCCACGAGGCACGGCACACTGTCTGTCTTGATGTGCCGTGCTTGCAGGAACGCTCGCAGCAGCGCCACCATGCGCGCCCTCTCCACCGCCCTCACCACCTCCACGTGCCGCGCTATCCGCTCCGCCACGCTCTCGCCCTCTCCTCCCGCTTCGTCCCCTTCCCCCGCTTCCCCCTCTCCTCCTCCTCCGTCCCCTGCCCTTCCCTCCCCACTTTCCCCTCCCTCCCCTTCTGCTTCTGCTCCTGCTCCTCCTGATCTTTCTCTTTCTCTTTCTGGTTCCCTTTTCTCCTCCTCTCCCGCACACTTTTCTTGCTCCGCCCCGTCTGCTGCCCCTTCCCTCGCTCGTTCCCTCTCTTCCCCGACTCCCCTTGCGCCCTCCCCTCCGCTCCCCACATCTCCGCCATTAGCTCTTCCCCCCGCTCCCCCAAACCCTTCCGCCCCCTCCCGGAAAGCTTCCCTCACAGTGCACCCCCGCTCCCCCCCATCGTCCGCATCCACACCAGCCGCCTCTCTTTCCCCCACCTTCTCCCGCGCGCTCCCCCATTCCAATCCCCCGCCTCGTCCATCGTATTCTCCGCCACCACCAGTGCAAACTGCTCTCTCCCCCGCCGATCCCCCTCCCGCTCCGCCTGCGGAGACTCCTCCACCCGCCTCCGCTTCCCCGTGCTCGGCGCACGTTCCGCGCCGCACGCACCCAAACACTCCCCCGGCCTCGCCGCTGCCGGCCATTGGCAGCTCACGAATGTATTTTAATCCCCTCTGTTTCTTTAACGTCTGCCTCGCCGAGAAAGAAAGAAAGAAAAGAAACAGATCGCGCCTCTAAAGCTCACTCACCGTCGTTCGCGCCGTCTGATCACTGAATCTACATGCCTCGCGGAAAACGCAGATCTGCAGAATTATCGAATCGGTTGCGCCTCGGAAAGACGCCGGTAGGCTGAGCTATGGCTGAAGGCGATTACGCTGGCAGCGACTGGGATTGAAGCAGACCCGATGAATGATCGCAAGGGAGATGCTTGTGGTTCATGGCACGTCAAAATACACGGACCAATTCAGCGGCTCCGCGGAACAGACTCGGGAGGAGGGGAAACGGTCATATGCGGTACAGCGCATGTCGATAGAAGCCAGTGACGGAGTTGAAGGGCTCGCAAGATCTGGCAGTGGTGATATAGAATACCTTTCAGACACCATTTTACGGTGACAAAATAATAGCAAAAGACAAGTGGCTTCAATGGAGTGTAACAATTGAACACCGTGCTCGCTTGAACAAGTGTGACCACGTGTGACCAATTGTGACCACGTGTGACCAACTGTGTGTTAACGGGAGTGGAGTGTTGGCCCCGCCCTCGCTTGGGCAACGCCGACGACTTGGTCGGATGTACGGAAGAAGCAGCCGACCGTTCACAGTGAAGGAGCTGCTCGACGGGCTTCGTCGAGCTGCAGGGTGTCACTGTGGGGTTTCCGTCGACCAGGGGTGCTCGACGGGCGCAGCTGACTGGGCGACGGGTGGGCCATCGACCAGGAGTGCCGGTTCGACGGGGAGGTCGACGGAGCAGTCCGTCGACCTGACATGTGAGCAACGGTCGACGAGGGGAGCTCGGCAACATCAGTTGAGAGTTCTGGTCGACGGAAGGGGTCCGTCGACCAGGGGGCAGCTCGACAGGAGCTGTGGTCGACCAGGGGGCCTTGGTGGTCGACCAGAGGCACCTGGTGGTCGACCGGGGGACCTGGTGGTCGACCGGGGGACCTGGTGGTCGACCGGAGCACCTGGTGGTGTCCAGGTCGACCAGGTAACCTGCTCGGCGAGTTCTGCGGAGGCACGCGAACGTCGTCGAGGTCGCGACTTCGGGCTGGTATCCCGAAGTCGATGTGGCTCGTCAGACGCAGACAACAGCCGACGGGTGCGCAACAACGCAAGTCGGGCCAATCGTCTGCGTGCACCTGTGAACGTGCTGCGGAGAGTCACCCTACAACGGGTGTGAACTACGAAGGAGGGCACGGAGTTGTGTGGGTGATCGTAGCGCTCTAGTAGCGTTCTAACAGAGTTCTCACTACTTGCTCTGTTCACAGAGAAATTTGGCAAGAGTTTCCACTAAGGAAATTGAAAGAACATTGAAAATTGAGAATTAGAGTACAAGAATGAGCATGCAAAGTGATATCTCTGGAATGGCATTGCAACCCCTAGCAAGCATTCTGCAAGGCGAATTGCCAGCACTGCATCAGAGCGGTTCGCCAACGCTGAAACAGAGCGGTCTGCCAGCGTAGCAGAAGGGCGACATGCCAGCGCTGCATTCGCAGGTGAATATCTGCGCAGGTGTGCACCTGCCGAGTAGGTGCAGGTAGACGGTTACACCGTCAGAGACATTGCGCAGGTGCCAGGTAGAAAACGCTCCGACGGTTTCGTCAGATGTCCGCCGTCGAGCACGTGATGCCATTTCGGAGGTCGAATTTCGCTAAGAGCCACCTGAGCAAATTTCGCATGCCCTCACAGAGTTTCGCAGTCGCGCGAATTCGGCCGACCAGTTCGCCGAGCTGACGCTCGCCGAACAGCGCCCTTCGATCAGAGAACGCGGCTCCTCGGACAGCACCCCGTCCGTCAGAGATCGCGCGACCCAGAAGCAGATCAGAAGACGAGCTCGTCGAACAGCACCCCGTCGACCAGAGCTCGTTGACGGGCTGGTGAATCAGAGGACAACCTGTCAGAATAACTGAGCAGGAATGGAATGAACTAGCACAGAGTTTGGTACAAGTAGGAAACCCTAACTTTGTGTACCCCCTAAGGTGTAACCCACTACAGCCTACACAATATAAACATACAATGTTTGACACACCCCCATAGGCGCAGTGGGAGACAACCACAGGGTCACAAGACCAGTCAAAGCAAAGCAAAGCAAGCTCAGGGTGGATCTCAAGGATTCCACACAAATTCCGAGCACAAGCAAGCGGTCACAAGACCAGTTCACATGCAGGTTTATAACAAAACAAGAGATACAGTGATCACAACCTAGCAAAAGTAAACAAGTAGGCATACATATATATAGTGATCACAGTACAAGCAAGGTCAAGAGGTAAGCAAGTGAGGCCCAGTAGGTACAAGGCCTAGCAGAGTGCAAAAGCGCTGATGGTCACAAGGCTGAAGCGCCTTGGTGAACACATCAGCAGTGTTGGCCTCCGTGGCCACGTAACGCAGACAAAGCTGACCACGCTGCTGCAGCTCTCGAGCAAGGAAGTACCGCAGAGCGATGTGCTTCGTTCTGTGCTCCAGTCTGTGCTCCTCACACAAGGCAATGGCAGCCTTGTTGTCGACGTACAGCACTGGAGGAGAACGAGGCCGCTCTCCGAGGTCGGTCAGCAGGTAGGTCAGCCAGCGTAGCTCCTGAGCAGCCATGGCTGTGGCGTAGATCTCAGCCTCACAACTGGAGCTGAGAACAGAAGAAGAGCGAGTAGAACGCCAAGAGACTGAGCCAGAGCCAAGGCTGAAGGTGTAACCCTGGGACGACCGCTGAGTAGCCTGGTCGTCTGCCCAAGAAGCGTCTGAATGCCCTGTGAGAACAACCCGGTCTCGCCCTCCAAGCACAAGCCCCATGCCCGACGTACTGCACAAGTAGCGCAACACCCTCTTAGCAGCATCCATGTGCTCCTTCCGGTGACGGCCAGGAGCGACATAGCGTGCTAGGATGCTAAGAGGGTATGCAAGGTCAGGTCGAGTGCAGGTCATCAGGTACATGAGGCAGCCCACAAGCTCTGGATACGGGCCACTCGGCTCTACGGACTCATCCGAAGGCAGAGCTGAGAGCGAGTGACCGGTAGGCAGAGGAGTGGACTGAGGCGAGGAGTACGTGAAGCGGAAGCGCTGGAGAACCTGCTGCACCATGTGTGACTGAGTCAGGGTGATGGTGCGCCGTGCTCTGTCCCGGGTGATCCGCAAGCCAAGATAGCTCGTCAGCTCACCCAGGTCTGTGCACGTGTGTCTCCTCTGCAGCTCCGACTTCACGTGGGCGAGTGCCGCAGTGTCAGCAGTGGCAAAGACCAAGTCGTCGACGTACACGAGGATGTAGAACGGCGGCAGCGAGGTGTCGGTGCGTAGAAACAGCGACGGGTCAGCAGTAGAGGGAGCGAACCCAAGAGCCGCAAGTGTCGTCCTCAGTGTGTCGTGCCACTCACGTGGCGCCTGGCGGAGACTGTAGACCGGCCGCTGAAGCCTCCACTGGGTGCCAGGAGGAACTGACCCAGTGAAGCCAGGGGGGCGGCGCAGCCAGATCTCCTCGTGCAGGCTGCCCTGCAAGAAAGCAGTGCTGAAGTCAAGAGAGTGAAGCTCGTAGTCGCGGTGAGCGGCTATGTGCAGCAGCACCCGAAGAGTAGTCATCTTCGGGGTGGGGGAGAAGGTCTGAAAGAAGTCTACTCCCTCTCGCTGACTGAAGCCTCGAGCCACGTAGCGCGCCTTGAAGACAGGCGGAGAACCCGGCGGCCGCTTCACCCTGAAAATCCACATGCCACTGACGATGTTCGCCCCAGGAGGGGGAACCTCGTCTACGTAGGTGCCTGTGGACTTCCAGGAAGCCATCTCTGCGTCCATGGCTGACTGCCACTGAGAGGAGTAGGGACCCGCCATCGCCTCAGCGTAAGAGCGTGGGGTCGGGATGTCTGGTGCATCCGGGTCTCCCTCAGGGGCAACTAGCAAGGACACGAGACGGGGCAAAGCAGCAGCAAGGCAGTGGAACTCCTCCTGTCTGTCCTCAAGGACGTCCGTGCCGAGAGCACACTCACCCCCGACGGACGGAGGACAGGCAGACGCAGACTCAGACTCAGCGACAAGACTGGCAGCGTAGTCTAGGCGACAGCGAGCAGCAAAGTCAACCAACTCAGCGACCAGAGCAGACGCAGCAGAGGACTCAAAGGTCGGGTCAGTGACAACTGTAGCGAGGAGACGCGTAACAGTGGGACTGGCAGCACGACGGGAGTCAGACTCCGGGTCAGGAAGAGTAGGAAGAGAGGACGCAGGAGGAGACGGCAGCGGGACACGCTGCGGAGCAGTGGAGGGACGCAGAGTCATGTAGTGAGTGCCAGGGACAGGAGGAGGACGCTCACGTGGGACACGACGACCAGTGCGAGCAGTACGAACAGGCGACGCAGGACGAGACTCAGGCTCACGACGCTCTGTAAGACCTCCTGTGGGACCAGCGTAAGGAGAGGGAGCAGGGAGAGGCGAGGCAGGCGGTAACTGTGACTGCGGCTGGACAGGCAGAGGACACTCGACTGAGGGAGGAGGACTAGGAGGAGGAGCCTGACCAAGAACCTGCTGAAGGAGCGGTACGAAGTACGGTCGCGGCCGCGCAGCGTCTCCAGAAGCAGCAGGGACACCAGTGGCAGCCCCAACGCCCGAGTCCTCAGCACCAGCAGCAGCTCCAACGCCTGGGTCCTCAGCACCAGCAGCAGCGCCACCGGTCGGGTCCTCAGCACCAGCAGCAGCTCCAACGCCCGGGTCCTCAGCACCAGCAGCAGCGCCACCGGTCGGGTCCTCAGCACCAGCAGCAGCTCCAACGCCCGGGTCCTCAGCACCAGCAGCAGCTCCAGCGTCCGGGTCCTCAGCACCAGCAACAGCACCACCGCTCGGGTCCGCAGCACCAGGAGCACCACTACGAAGACTGCAGCGCCGCGTGTACCACTCGCGGATCACCTGAATGGGGGGGAGCTCCTGGGTAGGAGGGGAAGTACCGGGACGAGCTCCAGAAGCACCTCTCCGGAGGCGGCAGTACTCGAGGTACCTCTCCTGCAGCTGCTGGGAGGAGGGGGCTCCTCCAGGTGGAGCACGCTCAGGCTCAGCACCCCCAGACTCAGCACCCCCAGACTCAGCACCCCCAGACTCAGCACCCCCAGGCTCAGTACCTCCAGGCTCCGCACCTCCAGGCTCCGCACCTCCAGGCTCCGCACCTCCAGGCTCCGCACCTCCAGGCTCAGCACCCCCAGGCTCCGCACCTCCAGGCTCAGCACCCCCAGGCTCCGCACCCTCAGACGCAGCACTCCCAGGCTCAGCACCCCCAGACGCAGGACGCGAGTCAACAGCTACCTCGACAGGCTCACCTGGGTCTACCTGGGACACACCTGAGGGAGCG